TTTTAAAATCAATATTAACGTTGCGTTTTAATTTCATTTTAATTATTCATTATTAAAAAATAACGAAATTAGTGATGTAATATTTTTATTTTTTTTCAATGAATAGCATTACCTAATTGTGATATCTAAGGGTGGATAATAAAAATAAAACCAAAACATAACGTCAGAAATGATTTTGATAAAAAAATAATTAGGTGATAAAATAGAACTAAAGTGACAGGTGGCCGACTAAATATAAAATTTGATCTTATATTAATATTAAAATATGCGGCACTGCAAGTAGCTAGCGGGGAACAAATGAATAGTAATAAAGAAGCTGATACATAGAGAAGCACCGCTGAACTTTACTCCCACATGGAGTAATGTAATCTTCACTCATATTCTCATGAAACATCACATGGAACACTACAGATGAGTTCCAGACTGCAATCTTCATTCAACGAGAGCCACGATTAATTAGGCCATAATTACCTGTTCTGCTACTAGCACTTGGAAGATACGCTATTGATTCCGAAACTGCAAAACTTCTTTTGAAAGAAAGATTACTGAATCCGAACCTATCACTGATACTCCTTGTAACCTTCGCTCCTGCTGCTCCCCACAATTTGTTTTCGTCGTCGTCGTCATCCTTGGAACATTCAACCAACGCCGTGAAAAACGGGTCCTTCCGGAAACTCTCAACGGCGGCGGCGGCGACGGTGGAGGCAGTGGAAGTTTTCTTCCGAGATAGCAACTTCCCCAAAATGCTCTTCCTAGAGGTCGGTAGAGTAGCTGGCGGTGGCAATGGCAGCAACTTGACGGATTCTTTATTCTTGTGGTTTTGTAGCTTCTTAGGTATCCCAGGTAAACGTTCCCAAGAAAATGGTACGCCTGAAAACCGGACCGGAGCCACCGGACCAAGAGGCGAATCATCTTGAAAATACGAAGATGATAATGTTGCTGATGACGACGAATACGATGATGACGAAGAGAACGAAGGCGTTCGCCGGCAAGAAGGGTATTTGGTCGCCGAAAATATGGAAGCCATAGCTATAGAGAAGAAAAAAGAAGTTTGTGTTATTATATGTGGTTCTTTGATTTTATTTATTTTTTCCTTTTTAATCTCACATCTACTGTTGTATATATATATATAGAGAGAGAGAGAGAGGTGTATATAATTTGGAATATATTAAAAAAATAATATTGTTATCAATGTTAATTAATAAAAAAAGTCGACCCCATGAGTCCATGACAGTGGGCAAGGCATTGATGAAAAAAGGTAAGAAAGAAAAGGAGTTGGCATTGAAGGAAAACTAAATTGGGATGGCGGTGGTGATAAGGACTATTTTTTAGAATATTATTGGTGAAATTTATTTCTTTTAATAATCGTTTCAAGTGTAGGTTTTTATTTTTACATTTAATAAATAAATATATAAAATATTTATCATTATTTTAATTTCATTTATTTAAAAATAAAATTGATTAATTTCGACTTAGATTAAAAAAATGATGTAGCATGTCCAAAAATCATAATTATTTAACATAGAGAAAAAAGATAATGAAAAAATTGAATAATTTCAAGATAAATTCAAAAAAATAATTTATTTTTTTTAATAAAATGATTATCGAAATCAAACTCAAAACATTAAACAAGTTAATTGAATGATGGAGACTACAACGATTATCATTTTGATTCGAATTGGTATAGGTCCATTCATGATACATGTATTTATCTAAGTTTTAGATAAACTTCACTCTTGATCTTTTTATCTTCTTAGTATAATTAATTACTATTTTTATTCCTTTAGTTTTTAATTAATTAAATCCAGTCCTTGTATGTTTTGTTTCTTTTAATTTAATGTTTTACATGAATTAAACAATATTTAGTTGTTTAATTTTTTTGTATATATCTTTATTTATTTTATTTTCGGCACTATTTATTTATTTGTTTACAAAATTATTTTTATATAAATAGTATTTATTAATATTGTGCTTCAGTTATTTTACGATATATGTTTCAACAAAATATTAATTTTTGAACGTCTTAAAGCGTTTTAATTACTTTACGTGTAAGAGTAATTTTCGTACAAGTATATAATTAACTTAGGGGATACGTAAACACAAAAAGTCAAAATTGCGGACCTTCGAATTTCAATAAATAAAAGCAGAGCCAAACATATATATATTCGATATGAACGGAAAAGTATCTCTGGTTTTATTCTTGTTGACAATTGCTTTGTGTTGTTTGATCGAAATGGCTGAATCTGCAGATGTTACGAAATCATCGTTATCGTCGTCGGCAGCGGCGGTCCACATCATATACACCGAGAAGCCTCAGGATGAGCAGCCTGAAGCCTACTATCTCCGAACCCTCGCATCCATCCTCGGCAGCGAAGAAGCTGCTAAGGATGCCCTGATCTACAGTTACAAGACGGCTACCAGCGGCTTCTCCGCCAAGCTTACTCCCGAACAGGTTGCCGAGATATCAAGTACGTGGCTTTTCTTAGTACTTTCCTGTTTTTTTTTCTAGGAATAATATTATTAGCTTGTTGTCGATATGAATCACTATTTTCTTTCGGTTTCTTTTTTTAAGAATTAGGATTATCATGCGAAATTGAAAAATTAAGTTCCTGAATAATCGGGATAAGCATACGATTTTGAAGAAGGAAAAAATTAGAACAAATAGCATAAAGGAAAATGCTTCAAGAGTCTATAGTTTATCCAAAATAATTTGGTAAAACATGCTTTTATTTCTTTTCTGGATTTATGATCTTCTATCAATAAAACGAAAATACTAGTGCGGAAATTACTCGATGTTATTCAATTTCTCATGCAATTCATCATTGAGGAAGAGTAATCTCCTGAAAAAAAAAAGCATCCCAATTTTTTAGAATTTGAGACTTGGAACCTGAAGAATTAATCTTTGGTGGTTTTGGATGGAACACCCGCACAAGTCAAAGTCGGTACATGGTTATTTTAAAGATGAAAGGAGGGAAGGAACCCATTTAGTGGGTTGATGCAGGATTTTCTAAAATTAACAATCGGCGTTGTTTTCTCGTTACTTAAACAACTCAGTTCCCAGAAATACAACAATTAAAGCACTTGAGCTTTTCTTTCTTACTGTTTTTAGGATTCAGCTCTCTCTCTCTCTCATTGAGGATTATATACCTTTTTGTCTTTCTGCGAACATAAAATTTATTGTTACATGGCGTATTAGAAAATTTGGTACGATGTTCGGTAATTTGATATTTGTAAGTGTATGTGGTAGAACAACCCGGTGTGCTTCAGGTCATCCCGAGCAGGACACTCCAGCTGGATTCTGGGACAGGGAAGCTGCACTAGGGCTCCACAAGCTCTGTTACCTTACTAAAAATAAAAATCCGTCAAACAATGCTCTCCTTCTGTAAAGCAGTTTGACCTCTTCTCTACACTCTATTGTATCAATCTATGTTACGTGTAGACTTATTTGCCTATATAATAGTACTAAATAATTTAACGGGGACCTCTTTTGTCCCTAGGCATGCCCTAGGCCAAGCCATTTATTTGGTTTTAATTTGCACGATATTATATATATTGTGTTTAATTTAAGTTATTTCACACACATATATATATTTATATATTAAAATAAATTTAATGTATAAACTATATTTCACATATATATTTATTTATAGTTAATGTAAAACTTAAAAATTAAAATGAATTTAATATTTTTAAATTAAATTATTTTTTATTTTTTGATTTGGATTCTCTATATAATTTTAATATAATTTATATATTATTATTTAAAAACAATTGTAAAAATAATTTAAAATAAAATGATTAAACTCATTTCATTTTTGAGTCTTTCATTAACTATAAATTAATATATATATGCAAAATATAATTTATTTATTAAATTTATATATATATATATATACATGTGTGAAATAACTTAAACACATTATATAAAATATTATGCAAATTATAAACAAATAAATGACTTGACTCAGTGGTAAGGGAATGCTCAGGATAAAAAGATGTCCTTAATTCAAATCCACACTAAAGCATGTCCATTATATTTTCTCTTCACACAACTGTGACACATGTTATCGTATGATTAGAAGATTAAATTTATTGAAAAAATATGTAAATATTAAAAACTAAATATATAATTATGTCAATTTTATTAAAGGCAACGTTACCACTCTGTTTAAACAGAGTGATCTGTTTGGTCGTTTTCAAACGTTGGTTGTCAAAATGATTTTATAATCATAGTTCCTTGGTCACCCTTGTAATTTACCCTAAATGATAAGAGGGGACAATGAAATATAGAGTCACGACTAGAGATGCACAAAAAATTCGAATATCTGATTTTATGTAAAAAATATCCGAAACCGGATTTGAAAAAAACTGGTTTTTTTTAAACCGGATCGGATATTTTAAAACCGAATAGTATAACCGGTTTGAGAAAAAATTAGACGACTGGATTTTTTACCGGATTAAAAACCGGTTTGAAAAAAACCGGATAAAAAACCAGTTTTTTATCCGGAAAAAAATCCGGTCTGGGGTTTAAAAAATTGGATGACCGGATTTTTTACCGGATTAAAAACCGATTTTTTTAAAAAATCGATTTTTTCAAACAGAAATCGGTTACATCATCCGGCCCTCCAAACCGGTTATGATCCGAACCGATTTTTTTATAAACCGATTTTTTGGTTTAGTAAAAAAACCGGATCGGTTTTTATCCGATCCGGATCGATTTTTATCCGATCCGAATCGGATTTAAATCCGGCTATGTGCATCTCTAGTCACGACCCTCATTCAACGAAAAGTGTTAGTATTCGATTTTTAACATAAAGATATAAGAAAATCCATTTTCCCGATGAAATATGATTACATATTTAAAATAACACAAACACCCCATTGTCTAATATAAATTAAACCTTTTCAATCTAACAAAAATGTCAGTACTTTTTTATTATTGTTTTTATCGAAGGTATATAATTTCCAAAACACAACTTGCTTATCTTGAAACAACAAACTGATACTTCACTGAACTACCAATATAGCAGCATATATGACGACCGCAATGGGTTTGGTAGAATTCTACCCATCTGTGACAAGAAAATATCGGACTCGGTTGCATTGGCCTTAAAGGAAGTTCCTCTGAAAGGTCCCTGTTGAAAACCTGGAAGTCAAACCTTTAACCATGTTTTCAGCATCGAGATTTACATTCTGCCTTCCGGCAACCAGGTCCTTCTCCCGATCCCATGGTTTCCATGGATGTTTCCCCTCCCACTCGTCTTTCTCCAGCTGCTGCTTCTCTAATGGTTGCTTCGATTTCTTCTTCAGTCGCTTTGCAGCCTCCTCTTTATGCTTTTGTACCAATGATTTTGGTCGTTTTTCTTTATTATATTCATCCACCAAATCTGCATCTGATGCGTTTCTATTCGCCTTTACTTCTTCATTCGAAGCAAGAGCTGCAGCCTCATTATAGGCTTCCAAGTAACTGCAATTAAGCATGCAAATCATAATAAATAACTGAACAAACACGTAAATATTACCATGCGATGATTAGCAAAACATTGAAAGCGAAATTCTCACTGCATCTTTGCTTTTTGGGCTCTGTCTGAAGGAGTATCGGTCCACACACTAGTATCACCTCGCCCTTCTTTCGTGCTATTGCTAAATTTGGTTGATTGCATTGTCACACCAGGCTGATAAGAATAAACAGGTTGGGTATTATAATTTGAGTAATTTCAGTTTAAATTCTGGAAATGTAATTCCCTTGGCCATTTCATGGATATCTCAAGTGACAACTAAGGATGCAGTTAATATTTTCGGCCTTTTCAAGGTGGATGATCCACAACATGAAGACAAAAATTCTATAAGTCCCGATATGAAGTGGAACATGCAGCAGGATTGAAGGATCTGCAGTGATGGGCAATGTAACTTGATTATGATGTTTGTGCAACTATCAATGCAAAAGTAGAGAACTAAAGACTGAAATGTCTTACTTTCCTCTCAGGAGGTAGTGTTGTCATCCATTCGTCCCTTTTAGGAGGCACTTTGACTTCCACTTCTGCCAGGAGCTCATCATCGCCTTCCATTGATATACCTGTAACAATTAAAAGCTCGCTTGGTTCTAGATCAACATTCTTTAGGGTGTTGTGAACTGTTGACTTGACACAAGATGTAAAAGAACACTAAATTATTGGCAAATGTACAGTTAGCTATGAAAGCACCAAAACTCCTAGCAGGAGCGCATACCCATGTCAGACACGAACATGGCTTCGAGATATCAGAATGTGTAATACACCAGAAAAAAAATAAAAGAAAAAAGGACATTCAAATATGGCAATAGACATTTGAACATGGAATTAAGGTTAGTTTTTGCATTTATTTAGTTATTTTTCAAATCTGAAACCAACTATCAAGAGCAAAATCAAATAAACCCATCACTAAAAGTATTTGAACACAAATAATACACTCAATATATTTATAAGCAATTTACATGTCAATATTTGGTTTAAAAGTATCAATTTTACATATTTATTGTATATCATCATATTAGAATTAAAATTATATTTTATTGCTCTCTCTAGATATTTCCATGTCAATGTGTCCATGTGGTACCAGTACCGATCGTCTATGTTGTGCTTCCTATTAGTCAGACACCTTACACAATGACCTAAAACAAACACTGGAGCTGCAATTTGTAGAAAGAGTGAGAATGAGCTCGTCATATCTCAAATGAATAGATCCCAACTAAAATATCCAAATTAACATACAAAAAAATGCAATTACATAATATCTGAAAGTTCTCACATATACAATTAAAAAAATGTAAACTTCAAAAGCATGTTAAAGACAGTTCATTTAGGAGGTATAAAAACTCAAAGTATCCTACTCATCGCAGCAAAAGCAAATAATGGGAGACACATGAATGCACATAAATGTTGCAGGTAACACTAACAACAGAAAACTATCTAACCTTGTAATCTTCTCCATTGTGCAGCTTCACGCATTGCTCGCAACTCAGCCTATAACAGAAAAGGCTCAATATAACAAGTTGATACTGGTAAGTTTATCAAATGAATGCCTGTTTTAAGAGCTTGTAAATAACAAATACCTTGAATTTCTCCTGCTCCTCCTTCAGTTTTATTTTGTCATCCAGAGCTTTTCGCTATAAAATGTGAGAAATTTGCGGTTAGAATTCACGATGCTGGGGCTAAATCTCAAGGAAAAAAGAGAATTAAAAATCACCCTAAATTCAAAATGCATAATAATTCACCCAAAAGAATGCATCAATAAATACCTCATGAAGATGGCACGAGAAATCACTATGGGCTAAGAAGTAAACAGGCCTAATTAACAGCCTACAGCACTACTACATTTTAGCAATAATATTAGCATAGCAATATCATATATATGGAGAGGAATGGAAGTGATGCAGTTTAATCCTCTACAATAGGTTGTTCAAGCTATTTTGATAGTATATTTGACCAAATATGGTACTCTTCCCAGTTCCCTTTCCTTCCCATTTTTACTCGTACAATTCTTGCATAACACAGGCTCATTAAGCTTTGATAAGAATTATAATAACATTAATTCAGTACCAGAAAGAGAAGGATGATTCGTAAGAGCAATGAAACAAAACCTCGAAGGACAAGGTTTACAAAAAGAAAAAAGAAAAAAATAAGAGGCATTCCATGTTACTGTACAAAATACAAACAGAGATGCCAATACTCAAGAAGATATGAATGAAACAGATTCAATTATAAATGAAGACTACTTAGGATGATTTTTCAAATCCTGCACTTGTGCTACAGGATGAAATTAGGCATTTTTAGTGCTGAAAGAGAAATAGCTACTCCATCGTCTCATGTTTGGTTATAGTAATTGATAGATTCTTCAGGCAAAGAAGAAGTAACGCCGTGTGCTAACTAAAACCATCTATAACTTCTAAGATGCCACAAAAACCAAAGTGTCTCAAAAGAGAGCAAACAAAAATACTCCAGTGAATATCTCAATACTAAAGTTCAGTTTTACAGACAATTTCATAGAGGGGTTAACGCATGCTTATTTACAGCATTGGATCACACAATGAGTTGACGCAGGCAATGAAGAAGCATAAGACCCAAAACAAATGACACCCATGGTGTAAACCAAAGCTGTGCCTAAAAATGATAATCAAACCCTCACCTTATCTGGATCTTGTAAATCCTTAAAAGCTTTGTTGAGTATAATAAATGCTTGGTGCGCCTGAGGATGAGGACATTTGTCGGGATGCACCAAAAGAGAGAGTTTCCAGTACCTGTGTTTTTTTTTTTTGGGGGGGGGGTAGCAGCTTATGAGAAACACAATTCGACCCAAGCTCACAATCACATCAAGATAAAAGGAAGAGTCCGTCTACTAGATTTTGACATCCAAACCACCTCTAGAATGAGAAAAGTACATGAAAAATAAATAATGTATAGTCTCTTTATTAACAAAACCTAGGACATGTATTTTGGCTCTCCAATCAGCAGCCCCCAGGAAACTTCTTATATTATCACCAAATTTCCAAGTTCAAAGCGTAAGTTATCCAAATTCCAAACTAGAATCACTCTCCATAGAAAATTTGTTTCAAAGAACACCATAGTAAACATAACCCAAAGCTTTCTAAAAGCCCCCTATGTAGAACATAGATCAGGTCGGGTCGAATCCTTTCAAGTCAGGTAACTTCTGGATTTAGTTTAGAAGGGCTCAAGTTTTGGTCAGAGTCACTATGGGTTTTACTTGGGTTAGTCTTGGATTTCATCCATTTGGGGTTCCGACTGATTAATCTATAGATTCTTTCAAGTTTACGTTGCTTCAAAATTAAGTGAATTTTTGTTCCAGGTCTTCGAAATTTTGGTCAATTTAGGTTTGTGTTTGGGATTTTACAAGTGGGTCCAGATTCAGGTTCATTTTCTACCTTTAATAATAACAAACTACCATATGGATCTCGTTTAGTTGATTAATACCTCAGACCATTTAAACTAAGGTATTGTTGGTCCAAAAAAATTATCTATTGCTGAGGGCAAATAGATATTAGGTTTGTGCTAAACAATAAAAAGGAACTAATATTAAATTCTTCCTCGTCTATTTAAAAGAACAATCAATGCAAACTACCCTTGATAAAATAAAAAAATAATAAACTTGTAATTGGAAACCTTACTTCTTCTTTATATTATCAGCAGACATATTGTGGTTTGCTCCTACAACATCATATGGACTATCAGGTTCAGCTCCCATAATTCTTGTGACCTGCTCAAGTAAAAGTGAAGCAATTGAGTAAGCATATAGAAATAACTGATTATCCATACAATGAAAATGCACCAAACCAAGAAATATTTATCATACAAGTTTATACGTAACTGATTATGTATCACCTATGACAACAGGTAAACAATTTCATTGACCTTACAGAACCAGAATATATTGACCGAAGATTAGGCAAATCCAAGATAAAATGCAGTAGTTTGTTCCTATTTTCCTAATGATTTCAAAAAGGAACAAGGCCCAAAGCCCCTAAATAAAGAAGATAAAATATAACAAATGCCAGAAATACAGGTATAATGTGAAAAATCAACAGACATATGACAAATGATGCTTGTAGAGACTAGGAACAAGATACTTGACTAATTATAGCTGGCAGACCGTGAGTTAATCAAGACAAATTCAACATAATAAAGATGATTTTCTTAACCCCTATCTCTCCTTCCCCACCCCAATGAAAAGAAACCCGATGAACCCAAATTTTAAATTAATTTCATTTTGTTGTCAATGGTTCTTTTAATTAATATGGCACTTTTTTCTTTACAATGCCAATGGCAGCTAAAATAAATCAGAAATTCAGAAGCTACTTAATTAAACAGACACCAAGCAGCCACCCACTTCTTTTCTTCCCAACAACACATAAGAAATGGAAAAAACACACATGAAGGACCTAGGATCATTTCACTGAACCCTAGACAATGAACACAGCACAACTAACAGAGATAAATTAAAAGGACGAGAGAAGAAAAAATCTGTAAGATGTTCCTAAGAAAATAATGAGAAGAAATTTTAACATTTCAAGAAAAAGGCTCAAGGTTGCAATCACTATGTTGCTACCAATCAAAGATATAGCTAAATCTGAATAAAATACAGAAGGGGTAAAATTTGGAACCTCTTCAAAACGTTCTGCTTCATTTGCTGATGCAACCTCAGCAACCAGAGCAGGAGGGGGAGGTCCAATAAATAGTTCATTGTCTTCCTCTACTTCTGCTTCTCTGGATTAATTTGAGAAAAGAACACCAAGAAAAAGTCATAAAAGTCAGCATTAATTTTCTGATACAAAATAAGGGTCTGTGAAACGTGTTTGACAATTATACAAACCAGAAACTTATAGAATGAAAACAAATGAAAAAATGTAAGAAATAAAAACTGTGAGCAAAAAAGTTTGTTGTGTAGAATACCTGAGATCAGCCTGAGCTTCTGTTAATTTGGCTGCTGCAGCAAGCAACTCAGCTGAAGGCATTGCAGGTCCAATCACCCTGCAAGAAAATGAAAGCAATTAAGAGGTTAGATATCAACACGAGCAATCTCATGCATCTGCAAGAAGTATCATATATACAGCTTAAAAATGGAAATCAGAAGTTTTGCTACTGGATTCAACGAATCATTAAGAACAATAATAACGTATCTCAAGGTATAATAACAAGAACAACAACAAATTCTTGCAAAATTAAAATTATACTCATCACTTGATTCTAGACTAATTTAGGACCATCAATAGGCTAAAAGTAAATATAGTTTTTTTTTATAGGAAGTTAAGGCCTCGTTAAAAACCCCCTTCATGATTAACGGAACACCAATTGGTGTTCCTTAAACAACGGAAGGAGGAGAAGAGTGCCTCATAATTCATTAATAAGAAAAAGATTACATAATGTTTAAAACAAAGAAGCCCCTTACAAAAACAACCCGAAACACACCAAAGAACACATCTTTCACTCAATTAAACAATATCCCAACCCAACAAACAATAACTACCCAATACCAGCCTTAGCCAAGCTATCAGCTTCTATATTTGTTGTTCTGTCAACCCATCTGATAGCTCCTTCCAAAACTCTTATCATGGCAACAATATCTTTGACTAGATGAAGGAAAACACCAGGACAACTATCTAAATTCTTAACCCAATCCACAACAAGTTTGCTATCAGATTCAACAATCCACCGATTCTTAAACCTCTGAAGAATATGCTCAAAGATAAGTACACCCCTCTTGATGGCAACAAGCTCCAGCAAAGTTGGAGGGTCTGGATCTGCAGATTCTTTAAAAGAACCCATAATCTTACCATCCTCATCTCTTAGTAAACCACCCACACCGCTCTTTCGCCAATCATTGCAAACTGCTGCATCTACATTCAGTTTTAGAAAACCCTTTGGAGGAGGAATCCAGGACACAATTTTAGTAGCCGAATTTCTGGAAGAACAAAAATCTACAATAGATGGATCACTTATCAGGGAGTCTTTAGTAATAGTAACCTCCTTGAACTTAGCTAAGAACCAAGAAGCAAGCCTTAGCCTAGCCATGAAAAATAACTCAATGTGATCCAAAGACTTTCCTTCAAACACCACGGCATTCCTAAATTTCCAAATGGTCCAAAGCACTACCCTCGGAATTAAGGACCAAATAGAAGAAGAAAACAACATGTCATTCCAAGCAAGTAAAAATCCTTGTGCATTTCCATGAAGAACCGAACTAATATTCCAAAAATTCAAAAACTTATTCCATAGGGACCATGCCACCTTGCAAGAGAAAAATAGATGAGGAATAGATTCAATCTCTCTTTTACACAAAGGACAAGAAACATCAACAATCCCCGAAACCCCTCTTTTTTGAAGCTCAAACTTAATTGCCAATTTCTGATGGGCTACTTGCCACATAAAAGTTTCTATTTTAGGAGGCACCAACCCCTTCCAAATACATTTCTCCCAGAAACTATCTTTTACCGATTCAACAAAACAAGTCTTCATACAAGAATTAACAGTAAAAATGCTTTCCCCATTCCCTCTCCAAAGCAGACCATCTCTTGACTCTTGGGATAGGCTGAAATTATGAATGATGACTAGAAAATTAGAAAACTGTTCTAACTCCCAATCACATAGGTTTCTTCTCAACTGGACATACCAAGACCACCCCGATGAATTGAACTCACCAAATTCCTTAATTGTCCCAAACTGATTCAATGAATATCCTCGGGAAAACAATCTTCAAAGGATGATCAAGAGCCCAAATATCTACCCAGAACCTGATTCTCTCCCCATTACCCACTGTGACTTGGAACATGCTACGAATCTTGGCACTAAACTCATCCTCTTTAAAATGATTATTAACCACCGATTTCCAAATCCAAGAAGCATTTGTAGGATATTTTTTAGAGAAAGAAATCAGATTAGTGTCCTGATTATATTTGGAACTTATCAACCTCTTCCAAATTGATTCACTGTCATTAGCAAACTTCCAAAACCATTTCTCTAATAAGGCCCTATTCATAAAATTAAGATTCAGCACACCCAAACCACCACAACTTCTTGATTTACACACTGTTATCCAGTTGACCCAGTGTATTTTCTTAGATTTTGCCCCTTGGCCATGATGGATTGCAACTTAGTATTCACTGCTGCCAGAATTTTAAACATAGACAAATAATATGTAGGCAAAGAACATAATACTGATTTCAATAAAACCAGTCTCCCTGCCAAAGAAAGAGTTCTTGCCTTCCAACCCGACAGTTTCTTGAAGAAACAATATCCATATCCCTCTTCTGATGATGACACATCAATTTACAGATGTGTTCTCGTCACTCTTTCTAGAAAATCCTAATTATATTTCTACCTAATGACTTGATCTGTTCAATTGTGGTTTCAAAAGAGAGCAAGGAATAAATACGACATCCATGAGCATCAATTAAATTGTGGCAATCATTAGCTGTTTTCCTCCCTCCTTTCCTTTTCAGTTGGTCCATTTTCACATATTTACAAATAAGGAGAATTTCCTATTAATAATTATATCTTTATTCCAAAAGCATCCCAACAGTTAGAAACTGTGCCGCAAATTTATAAGTCTCATTTTATAATTTCGAGAATGAGGTGTAGAGTTCGCGGATGGAAGATAACTACCAACTAGTTTTTAGCCAAAGAGACAGTATGTCACCATGTAGAACAAGGAATTGTGTGTATTCATAGCAGAAAATTGATAAAACTTATAGGCTTCTGCGTGGAATAGGAAAAGAAATGGAAAAAGAAAAACATAGGAAAAAGGCTTCAATAATCACCTTCTTTTAGGACCGGCAGAATCATCTTTGTCTGAATTATTTTCATCCATTACTTGGCCATCCTTCACTGAACCAGAATTTGTGGGTTGTTGCTCTATAGGTTCTGTAGGAGCCTGAATCATGTGGCCAACAACATCCAAGGTAGGACGAGATTTTGAAGAGTGTAAAAACACTCTATTACCATTCTCCTTTAGATTTAAAGAAAGGAATAACCTCTTCAAATGCTTATTTAAAGACCTTTCAGATATGCCCTTTATGTCAACAGCTTGCCCATCATCAATCATTTGAAGAAGCTACAATGGAAACAAATATCAGAATAAGGAGACAAGAAAATAATAAGTTCTTTACATTGATGTTGGAGTAAAATGGAAAGAAGGAAAAATAAGATAAAAATAACAAGGATACTCAAATAATAGATATATACACAGAGAGAGAGAGAGAGAGGGAAAAGAAGTAGTATTCACTTCGACCAACATATTTGTCTCACATTCTAATCAGTATAAACTATAAAAGTAAACGTAAAACGGGAAAAGAAACCATGTCCTTTTACCAATCTTATTTCTAGCCCAAAAGTCAAGTTACATACCAAAAACGAACTTCAAGTAAAAAAAACCAAAGAAAAAGAGAAATGCAATCTTTATCCATTACTTGGTAAGACAATGTACGTTTTCAGATTGCGCCTTATATTTAAGGCATTATGCAGTTAGTTATCAAACAAACATTAAAATGCTTAGCAGAACCAATAGCATCTATCTTCCCCTCGTAAATGGATAAACGAGCATACCAGACACAGCTTAAGCTATGGCACTAGATCATCGAAAGAAACCTATGAAATTACTTATATCATATTTCAAAATGGCACTAGATCATTGAAAGAAACCTATGAAATTACTTATATCATATTTCAAACAAAAAAATCAAATTATTCCCTTTACGAACTCTTATTTTGTGTGTGGAAATAAGCAGGAACACAAAATATACAATCAGTTCTCTTTCTCTATATTACTTACATTATCCTCCAAGCTTATTTCTCATGGAATGACAAGAAACTTAGGAAGTGCCTTTGCTATATGATGAGGAACATAGGAAACTAAATCCAAAAGTTAGCATCCGATGAACTTGAAATGCACCATCAATAGAGTTATGGCATATGAGGATGGAACAAAAATTCAACACAAGAAGCATCTACAAAATGTCTTCTCTGTTGCCATTAGCTTGTATCTAAGCTTCATAATATCCAGTTGCAGAGCAATCTGAATTAAAAATTTAACAAATGCTATTAAAAAGATTAGCATATCCATTTCTAGGCTTTAAAAGCCAACTTAATATAATTTCACTTTAATTCTTAGCTAGACCCGTTATCTGAATCACATAAAGCACATTTCACGCATTCATTAACCAGAAACGAAACGAGAGCAACTTTAAAATAAACTACAATAATTAAAGAAAATAGGCAATTACCTGTTTCAAATCATTACCAACATTAGGAAACTCCTTCAACATCTCTCGGACAACTACTTCAGGCTCAATCCGCCCTTTAACACCGTCAGAATCAGATCCAGACCCGGATTCAGACTCAGACTCGTAATCCCTTCTCTTCTCCCTTCCATCCTCTCTCCGCGATTTCCTTCTTCTTCTTTCCCTTTCTTTCTCCTTGCGCTTTCTTTTCTCTCTTTTTCGCTCTTTCTCTCTCCTTGAGCTTCCATCCTTCTTACGCCGGACTTTCTGGTGCCGGCGAGACCTCTCCAGCGATGATTCAGACTCGTCTGAGGTTGACAGAGATGAAGATGAAGTGGGTGTGTCGTCTACATGCTTCTTCCAGGTTTTTCTCGGCATGTTTTGGGACCTCTGAGCTTGCAAAAGAAACCACAAAATTTATATACCAGAAACTTAGGTTCAGTTGTTCAAAACATGAAACTTATCTAACACTTAAAATCAGAGTTCAATCCGACTCCGTTTTCCAAATTTGTATGAGAAGTATGGTATAGAAAATAAAGTTTTGTTGGTGAGTCAATAATACTTATTGGATTCATTGGGCTATACGCAACCCAAGAGCAGAGCCTAATCTCTATAACCCAATACTTAGGTCTCATCATGAAGTAGATGAAGAGCTTCGGGCTGGTGACTCGGCGGTAAGGATCATTTATGGGACTTCGCAATTTTAATAAGAAAGAATCGCCTCAGTGACCAAAAAAAAGTTATAATATACGATTTTAACCAACTTTTTTTGGATTTGCCAAAATGACCAACAAAATCGCAACGCGAAATAAAAATCGCAACGCGATCCCCAGAATCGCAAATCAGTTTCCAAAATCGCAACGCGATTCTTGAAAATCGCGATGCGATAGTACAAATTCGCATTGCGATTTTCCATAATCGCAACGCGAATATGAAAATCGCAACGCGAACACATAAATCGCAACGCGTATCCGTAAATCGCAACGTGTATCCGTAAATCGCAACGCGTATGGGTAAATCGCAATGCGTATCCGTATATCGCAACGCGTATCCGTAAATCGCAACGCGTATCCGTAAACTGCAACGTGTATCCGTAAATCGCAACGCGTATCCGTAAATCGCAATGCGTATCCGTAAATCGCAACGCGTATCCGTAAATCGCAACGATAATCCGTAAATCGCAACGCGTATCCGTAAATCGCAACGATAATCCGTAAATCGCAACGAGAATCTGTAAATCGCAACGATAATCCGTAAATCGCAACGAGAATCTGTAAATCACAACACTTAAATTTTGGGTATATAACACTGAAATCATAAACTAAATCCCTAAATCGCAACTCATTCCATCTCCATCTATCACTCTCTCCGGCGACATCCGTTCCTATATCCAACGACATCCTTCCCAATCCGGCAACAGGTTTTAGTTTCGCAGCTCGTCTGTTTAGTAAATTAATTTACAACCATGAAATCATCTAATGTTGATCATGTTTGGATAGATTTGTGTTTTGGAGGGTCATGGGATAATGTTCATGGTGTTTTACAATATATGCCTTTACCCATGAATCTTCAACTAAAATTGTCTTTACAAAAGTTAACTTATGAAACTCTAATGCTACGTGTTTCAAATAAATTGAATTTAGAGCCCCTAAGTGGATTTAGGCTATCTTATCAGAGAAATGGTAAAGTTTATTTGTTAACCGACAATGAAGATGTTGAACGATTCATTGCTTACATTAGTGTTTCACAAGATGATGTTACATTGTATGTTGTTGAACCTAGAAGTAGTATTGTTGGGTCAGTAGCGGGTAGTAATCAACTAAGTTTTTCTCAAAACCCACAACCTTTCTCTAATCCAAATCCCAATCAACTTTCAGCACCAAATTCCGGTTTTCGTATTGACCAGTTAGACGATGATGAGCCAACAGAAAAAATTGTGAGTACTAGTCAGTATTCGAAATTTGGTCTTGGTCAATATCCGGACTTTGATATTGGTCAATACACGGATTTTGATGATGTTTCAGAAGAAGAAACAGACCATGCGTGTAATGATATTGATATTGGTCAATACCCGAATTTTGATGATGAAACAGCCGTTGCCGAAGAATGTAATGTTGATGATAATGAGGAGGAAGTTACGACTGTGAATGAACATGTTGAACATCCATTCTATAATTCATATAATCCTGAAGAAGAAAAAGAAGAAGAAAAAGTCCCCGAAGAAAAGAAAATGCCACGGGCGTATAACTGGAATATGCCAGAATTACTTCAGATACCGGAAGAAGAGTTGATAAAGAAAGCAGTTGATTGTTACACAAAAGTTATTCGTATCAAGAAAGATGATTGTTTTGATACAAAGGAAGACTTGAAGATAGCTTTATATACGAAATGTGTGGAAGATGGCTATCAACTAAAAGTTAACAAATCAAGCAAAGATCGTTTCGAAACAAGGTGTATGATTGACAAAAACTGTACGTGGCGTATGATTGCAAAGAGAATAAAAGATTGCAAAATGTTTCAAGTTAGGACTTTTATTGATAAACATACATGTTCAAGAACCCAAGTTTTTCCTCACCATAGACAGGCAAACAAAAAGGTGTTGGGTGGTTTTCTGGCTGAGTTAATGTTTTTGAATGGCAGGGTATATCGGGGACATGAAATTATGACTGACATGAATGCTCGGTTCAAGATTAGTATATCATATTCTCAAGCTTGGAGAGCCAAATGTTATGCCTTGGAATTGTTGAGGGGGTCGCCAGAAGCATCGTTTGCCCAACTGCCGGCTTATTGTCACAATTTAAAGCTGAAAAATCCTGGGTCGGTAACTCATATCAAAACAGATAGAGATGGACGCTTTGAGTTGCTGTTTATCGCCATTGGTGCTACGGTTAGTAAATCAATATAATTTTGTTGACTCATTTTTGTTAGTTACATGCATTTCACATTTAAATGATTATATTTCTTGTGTATATTATTTTGTAGATTCGTTCGTTTATTACTTGCATGCGCCCAGTTATTATAGTTGACGGAGCACATTTGAAAGGTCGATACCTTGGAGTAAACTTATTAGCAGTAGCCATGGATGCTAACAATGGGATATTGCCAATAGCTTACGGGGTTGGCAAATCTGAAACCTCTGATTCATGGACATGGTTTATGGGGCATCTTAGGGATTGCATAGGTCCTATTAGCAATCTGACAATCATATCCGATAGGGCAAACTCAATTGACAACGCTGTTAGAAGGTGTTTCCCAGATGCTTTTCATGGACTTTGTGGTGTTCATTTGTATAGAAATCTAAAATCAAGGTCTGCTGGTATAAAAAAGCACAAATGGACATACTGGAAGGCTGTAAAAGCTTATCGGGAAGTGGATTTCAATAAGCATATAAATTGTTTAAGACGTGTTTTGCCTCAGTGTGCTCAAACACTAGAAGATGTCGGGTTTGAAAGATGGTCAAGAGTACATCAACTTGGAGCAAGATATGGTTTCATGACGTCTAATAGTGCAGAATCAATCAACGCTCTAAGTCGTCATTCCCGGAAATTACCCATTACTATGTTAATGGAGTTTTTTCGAGCCTCTATTCAACAGTGGTACTACAAGAAAAGAAACCATGCAGGTATTATTTCTTTGAATTCGTAACTTATCATATTTATATATTTTACTAAGTATTGTTTATTTAAATTTACAGGAACATTGGAACATCGTGTTACACCATGGACTGAAAAAAAGATAACGAAACGTGTTGTGAAGTCAACGTCATGGAGAGTTGAACCATGTTCAAACACTTTGTTTCAAGTACTGGATAATAACTTAAATGGGCTAGTCGATCTAAATGCAAAGACGTGTAGTTGTATGAAATGGCAAACATCTGGTTATCCGTGTGGCCATGTTATAAAAGTTGCTCTTCATTTAAACCAAGATGATTCAAGCGCATACGCTATGGATTGCTACACTACAGAAGTTTATCGACAGACTTATGCCGAGATTGTCTACCCTATTCCACATCCTTCTGAGTGGGACATACCAGATGACTTACAAACAGTTTTGCCACCAGCCATGGACAGAAGGCTACCTGGCCGACCAAAAAGTCACGATCGTATACCGTCTAAGGGTGAAGAGAAGAAGAGATCGACATGTAGTCGGTGCAAGGAAAGTGGTCATACAAGGTTGACATGTGGATCACCAGTGCCATCAAAATCATCTTTTCCTCTACCAAAATATGGATCCTCATCAAAATCCAAAGCTCATATGGTGTCAAGCAAAAGGCAATCATCTTTAAAATCCCAATCACGATTGGCTTCACCTTTTGAGACTGTTAACTTAGGTGATTTTTAAATGCAAACGTTGTATTATGTGGATTTTATGTGTGAACTTTTAACATTTTCAGTTGAATTAATGACTCAGGCCAACCATTTTGACTTAACCAACTCTTGTTATTCAGTTGTTATCACTATTAGGCATGCATTTGACTATCGCAACACGGAAAATACAATCGCAACGCGAAATGAAAATCCCAACATGAAAATCGCAATGCGGAAATGAAAATCGCAACGAGAGAATCGCAATGCGAAATGAAAATCGCAATGCGAAATGAAAATCGCAACGACAGAATCGCAATGCGAAATTAAAATCGCAATGCGAAATGAAAATCGCAATGCGAAATGAAAATCGCAATGCGAAATGAAAATCGCAATGCGAAATGAAAATCGCAATGCGAAATGAAAATCGCAACGAAAGAATCGCAATGCGAAATGAAAATCGCAATGCGAAATGAAAATCGCAACGAGATAATCGCAATGCGAAATTATAAACGCATTGCGATTTTCATTTCCGCATTGCGATTTTCATTTCGCATTGCGATTCTCTCGTTGCGATTTTCATTTCGCATTGCGATTTTCATTTCGCATTGCGATAGTCATTTTTGCCTTCAACATAATGCAGATTGAAATCAACAAAATCAACCATTACATTTCAATCAATTAAACAAGCACAAATAAGAATTATGTTCGCATCAATTACACAAATCAACTTTTACAAATCATCTTTTACAAATCAATTAAACAATCAAAAATAAGCAATAATTCTTATTTCCGATCATCTACTATTGAATCAACTTTTACAAATCAATTAAACAATCAAAAAACAATCAATTAAACTATTGAATCAACTTTTGCAGCTCGACATCATTTTCACGCAGTTCACTTCTGAGATTAACCTGCAGAAACCAAACATTTGTTCAAACAACACTTTCTACGCAAATTATTGAATTCTAGTTAATTAACCAAACATTTTCATTTATAAGTATATAAACTTACCAATTGTTTATGGACATTTTTATAACGCGGATGCAGGTAGGCAGCGTCTCGTATATATCGATTTAGCCATATAATGCCGAAACCACAAGCCTACTGCAGCTTTATCTCTATCGGTGGGAGGTAGATACTTGATGCTTCCCGTCGTC